CCCAAAGTGTTGGGATTACAGGCATGAGCCACAGTGCTCAGTCTCGAGAAGTTTTTAGCTCAAAAGACTTCTGTTCAATATCACTTGACCTCCTGATGAATAAATACCAGTGCAAGGACACCAATGCTGAGCACACTCCCTACATAGCCTCGTACTGAGGTCTCTGGGCTACAGTTTTAGTGTCTGCTCTTATCCTTATCTCTTAAGCCAAAGCAACCCTTATGACCCTAAATTCTCAAGAGCTTACCACTGAGGCTTTTATAGATTTAACACCCACTACAGTGCCAACTCTGGAAAGGCACACTGGTTTTTGTTTTGTTTTGTTTTGTTTTCTTTTAGACAGGGTCTTGCTGTCATCCAGGCTAGAGTACAGTGGATCGATCATAGCTCAATTCAACCTTGACCTCCTGGGCTGAAGTCATCCTCCTGCCTGACCTTCCCCAGTAGCTATGGCTACAAGTGTGCGCTACCATGCCCAGCTAAGTTGATTTCTATTCTATAGAGATGAGGTCTTGCTATGTTGCCCAGGCTGGTCTTAAACTCCTGGTCTCAAGGGATCCTCCCACTTTGGCCTCTTAAAGTGCTAGGATTACAGACGTGAGCCACTGCGCCTGGCCAGACATACTGTTCTTTGATGAATGTTTGGTAACAGCAAAGTCCATGAAGTGGACAGGCTCTGGAGCAATACCGTCCTGTGTCAAATCCCTACTCCACCATTAATTAGCTTTGTGATCTTAAACAAGTTACTTGGCCGGGTGCAGTGGCTCATGCCTGTAATCTCAGCACTTTGGGAGGCTCTAGTTGAAGACTAGAGCTCAGATTGCCTCCATGAAAGTTAGAAGGGAGAGAGCTGGGCACAGTGGCTCAGGCCTGCAATCCCAGCACTTTGGGAGGCCGAGGTGGATGGATCACAAGGTTAGGAGTCTGAGACCAGCCTGGCCAACATGGTGAAACCCCGTCTTCTACTAAAGATACAAAAAATTGGCTCGGCGTGGTGGCACACGCCTGTAGTCCCAGCTACTCAGGAGGCTGAAGCAGGAGAATTGCTTGAACCTGGGAGGCAGAGGTTGCAGTGAGCCTAGATAGCGCCACTACACTCCAGGCTGGTAACAGAGCAAGACTCTGTCTCAAAAAAAAAAAAACCCAAAACAAAACAAAAATTAAAATTAGAAAAAAAATACAAAAATTATCCAGGTGTGGTGGCAGATGCCTGTAGTCCCAGCTACTCGGGAAGCTGAGGTGAGAGGATTGTTTGAGCCTGGGAGGTGGAAGTTGCAGTGAGCTGAGATCGTACCACTGCACTCCAGCCATGGCAACGAGTGAGACTCTGTCTCAAAAAATAAAATAAAATAAAATAAAAAAGAGTTAATCCCTCTGTTCCTCAATTTATTTATCTTCATAAAGAAATGCACATAATAATGAATACCTGTCTCACAGACTTGTTGTGAAAATTAGTGTATGTGTATATACATATATACACACACACACTCATATATATATACTCATACATATATATATTAGAGATAGTCTTGTATGCAGTAAGCACCTGAAAAATGTTAGCTACTATTGTTATTCCCGAAAATAACATGAATCAAATCATATAGTCTGTATACAATGAGATGATATTATAAGAAAGCAGTGGGCTTATATTAGGCCAGGCACAGTGGCTCACGCCTGTAATCCCAGCACTTTGAGAGGCTGAGGCAGGTGGATCACGAGGTCAGGAGTTTGAGACCAGCCTGATCAACATGGTGAAACCTCATCTCTACTAAAAATACAAAAATTAGCCAGGCGTGCTGGCACGTGCCTGTAATCCCAGCTACTTGGGAGGCTGAGGTAGGAGAATCACTTGAACCCGGGAGGCGGAGGTTGCAGTGAGCTGAGATTGCACCACTGCACTCCAGCCTGGTGACAGAGCGAGACTCTGTCTCAAGAAAAACAAAATAAAATAAAATAAAATAAAAAATACCAAAAAATGTTGACTTTGAATACAATTTTCCATAAGGAAGATAATTAAGCCCTAGTTTTTTGTTTTGCAACTCAGAATTTCCACTTAAGACTACTGACACGTGGGCACATGTGCATCAATCTCTATCCATGTTGGGACTTGGTTCTACCCTTCTGGGGAGAATTATCAGGAAATGACCCACTAGGGTAGGCAGTGAGTTAAGGACCTCTCCTCACACTTCGAAGAGGTGCTTCAAGCAGTTTTCTCTTCTGGCTACTAGGAATTCCTATAGGGGCAAGTGTGTGGGTGGGGCGGAGGAGCAGCATCTTTCCTTTGGCCATCTCCACCTAATGTAGCAGTAGCTTTTCTCTTTCCCCTAGACCTTTTGGGCTTTGAGTTCAAGGGATTAGGGAGAAGGCCACAGAGGCAGCTTCTTTTTGACAGACAGGCCATAGCTAGGAGTGGAAGCCTCAGACTTCAGCAGGATGGCTTGGAGAATACAGCAGTGCCCTCTGCTGTGAAGCATGCAAGTGACACTCTAGGGCAAGAGCATGTGCAAACCTTGCCAAACAAAAAAATTAAAAGCCAGTCCAGCCACTCAGGCATGTGCTTGGGCCGCCCTATGGCTACACTCCCCCTTCCCTCCCACTCACTTTAAAAAAGTGTCTCTGTTCCAGAGCCTGGGAAGAGGGTATGTTTGTCTCTATTCTATCTCAGCCTAGGCTGTAGAGGGCTTTGTCCTGTTCAGTCCTGGGCTATCAGTCCTGCTAGGTTAATACCAGAGAACGACAATGTTCAGTCAATTCTACTGCCACCCAAGACTAAGTAGGGCCACACCTTACTGCAGTTAAAGTCCTACTCATATTAAAAAGCTCCAAGAAAGGAAACCCTGGCATATTGAATAATACAGTTTAAAAATCTTCCTGAAGTCTAATGGATCTTGCTTTTTTTTTTTTTTTTTTTTGAGGCGGAGTCTTCACTCTGTCGCCCAGGCTGGAGGGCAGAGTGGTGCCATCTCGGCTCACTGCAAGCTCCGCCTCCCGGGTTCGCGCCATTCTCCTGCCTCAGCCTCCCGAGTAGCTGGGACTACAGGCGCCCGCCACCGCGCCCGGCTAATTTTTTTTGTATTTTAGTAGAGACGGGGTTTCACCGTGTTAGCCAGGATGGTCTCGATCTCCTGACCTCGTGATCTGCCCGCCGCGGCCTCCCAAAGTGCAGGGATTACAGGCGTGAGCCACCGCACCTGGCCGAATCTTGCTTTGTTTTATTCCTGTCTTCATATATCACAAATCTCTACTTCCAACCATCCTAAATCCTAAAGCTTGTCTTTGTGAGATGTGAAATGGAGTGGAGAAAAGACTTAAAAGCCAAAACCCCCGAGGCTATAGATAGAGAACTTTTTTTTTTTCCTTTGAGACAGAGTCTCGCTTTGCCACCGAGGCTGGAGTGCAGTGGCGCAATCTTGTTCACTGCAACATCTGCCTCCCAAGTTCAAGTGATTCTCCTGCCTCCGTCTCCCGAGTAGCTGGGATTACAGGCAGCCACCACCACGCCTGGCGAATTTTTGTATTTTTAGTAGAGACAGGGTTTTGCCATGTTAGCCAGGGTGGTCTTGAACTCCTGACCTCAGGTGTTCCGCCAGCCTCAGCCTCCCAAAGTTCTGGGATTACAGGTGTGAGCCACCGCCAAGATGGAACCTTTGAGCCCAACTGAGATCTGTCATTTGCCTTAGAGAATGTCTAGATACCACATGCTGCTGAGTCTGTGGTGTGCTTTTAGTAACTCATGCCATGGAATGATCTAGGAAAGGAAAGCCTAGGACATTGCTGAAGAAAACTGTTTGAAAGGCTTACCTTAATTCCAGAGCATCGGTTCTCTTTTTTTGAGATGGAGTCTTACTCTGTTGCCCAGGCTAGAGTGCAGTGGATTTTGGCTCACTGCAATCTCCACCTCCCGAGTTCAAGCAATTCTCCTGCCTCAGCCACCCTAGTAGCTGGGATTACAGGTGTGTACCTCCACGCCTGGCTAATTTTTGTATTTTTTTTTAGTAGAGATGGGGTTTCACCATGTTTGTCAGGCTGGTCTCGAACTTCTGACCTCAAGTGATCTGCCTGCCTTGGCCTCCCAAAGTGCTGGGATTACCAGAGCCCTGGTTCTTAAGGCTTAGCATGTATTAGAATCAACTGAAAAGGGAGATTTTTAAAACCCAGTTTTCTGAGCCCTAACCTCAGAAGTTCTGATTTAAGAGGTCTGAGGTGAGGCCTGAACATCTGTATTTCTTTTTTTTTAGAGACAGAATCTTGCTCTGTCACCCAGGCTGGAGTGCAGTGGCACGATCTTGGCTCACTGCAAGCTCTGCCTCCTGGGTTCACGCCATTCTCCCACCTCAGCCTCCTGAGTAGCTGGGACTACAGGCGCCCGCCACCACGCCTGGCTAATTTTTTGTATTTTCAATAGAGACGGTGTTTCACTGGGTTAGCCAGGATGGTCTCGATCTTCTGACCTCGTGATCCACCCGCCTCAGCCTCCCAAAGTGCTGGGATTACAGGCGTGAGCCACCACACCCGGCCAAACATCTGTATTTCAAACAAGTTCAGATGATGTTGATGATCTAGGGTCCAAACTTTGAGAATTACTGGTTTTTTGTTTTGTTTTTGTTTTCTGAGACAGAGTCTCTCTCTGTTGCCCAGGTTGGAGTGCAATGGCACGATCTCATTGCAACCTTCACCTCCTGAGTTCAAGCGATTCTCCTGTGTCAGTTTCTTGAGTAGCTGGGACTACAGAAGCATGCCACCATGCTGGCTAATTTTTGTATTTTTAGTAGAGATGGGGTCTCACCATGTTGGCAAGGTTGGCCTCGAACTCCTGACCTCAAGTGATCCACCCACTACGGTCTCCCAAAGTGCCAGGATTACAGATGTAAGCCACGGCCTAAGAATTGCTGGTTTAGAGAAAAGCATGTTGGCCTCAGCTGAGAATAAAGATAATATGTCTGAAGTAGTCTAACTTGGTGATCTCCTCTGTAGACAGATCTTCTAGGAGCAGGCTAGGCTCACAATCACACCTCTCATTTATTTTTCCAGTTTTAAAATAGAGGGGGAAACAAAGAAGGAAAATACAAAGAAAGAGGGTAGACAACTCTCTTGCATAGCCAGAAGCCCAGAGAGAAAGAGTTGGCTGGCCTATGAGAAGACACGAGGAGTTGGGAAGAGGAATGCCAGAGTTCCCTGAACCAACAAAAATCTCTCTGCAACTCAAGTCTGCCTTATAGAGCCACTCCAGGACTCTGCCACCAGCTTTCAGCTCTGCTGAAACCGAAGCCATTCCCAGGCCTGTATACAAGTTGGCAGCCTGGTGGTTTGCAGAGACATCTTTTAATAATCTTGGGTTTGGCCATCCAGAAGGCCTCTTTCTGCTCAGGGTTTCTGCAGTGTCTTTTGGTGACTCCTTAGCAGCCAGTGGTTGGAATGTTGTCACGGGCTCACATCCTTCACCAGAAGGGCAATCTGCTCCCGCAGCTGCCGCTCCCCTTCCTGCACTTTGCTCTGGCTTCGACACCTCAGCAACTCAGCCTTGTGGTCCTGATGATGCATAGGGCAGTAGCTCTGTGGTTCACACAGCTCCTGAAAGGTAAGGAACAGAGTAAGGGATTCTCTAGACTCCTGAACTCTACCTACGAAGGATAATAGAGATGCTGCTGCTGGCAGTGGCCAAGAAGGAGCAGCAGTTTCTTCTCTGAGGGCTTTGCAGGCCCTGGGAGTTGCATGCTAAAATTGGCTCCCCGCATGCCCCACCCTTTACCAAATATTCTGGAAAGAAGTCTCTGTAGCCGCCTTTAAGGATATATAGCTCTGGGTAGTACAATGCAGGATACTGGTTCAGAGACCTGTCCTCTTCACGCAGAGAGCGGCACCTTTAGAGAGAACCCAGAGATGGGTGGGGTGGAAATAAACAAGGTCAGGATCCCAGGGGCTATTCACTGGGCAGGGAGGAGAGGAATAGACTATTGCCAACCTCAAAAAGGACCTTCCAATCTCACTGTGTTTGCAAAAAAAGGTCCAAGTAGCACCACCCTTCCTCTTTTCCTCCACTGCGGCCTCATTCTCAAGTCCCTTTTCCTTTATTGTTTCATACTTTTCAATTTTAGAAACGTCTTCCTTCAACCTCCCTAACATTCTTCAAACTGTAGAATCCAGTCAGTCTCTGTCTGAACTGGTGTGGGAAGTCCAACTCAAAATCCATTTCCATCACCCGCCAGACCCCATTTAGACACTCACATTCGGGGGCCCCTCTCTGAGGAGAATTCACAGTGGAACACGATGATTATTCTCTTCTGGGTGTCCAAAGGGACAATGGGCTTCTTTAGAAAGAAGCTAAACAGTTCTTCCTGACTATACAAGTTTAAGGCTCCCTGTAGAAAAAGAATTTTAGAATTTCCTCAGGGGCTTATAGACAGTGCCAATACTTAGAAATGACTGAGACACCAATGTGGGATAATTTGGACCAGAAAAGCTGGACTATCAGCACCTTTAGGGCAGGGGTCTAAGTATATCTCTGTATATACCCTGAACGCCTGGCATAGAGCTTGGTATGTAGTAGATGGTCAATAAATGTTCATAGAACTGAACTACTGGAAGTATAGGGATCACTGCGAGGAATGTTCATGAATATTAAGTGTTTGCAAAGTGCTTTAGTCCTTGGATTCATGTTTTTATTTCTAGGTAGGACCCCTTGGCTCCTACAGAAAAGAGGGAGATAGATCTAGGAAGGAAAGGGAAAGTAAGCTGCTTAAGGTATACAGAATTAAAACAATGAGGACCTCAGCCTTGATGTGCTTCAAATATGTAATCTTTGTCCTGATTCTAGAGTTCATAGGCCCCTTTGTCCACAGACTCTTCTCAATAAAGAGCTATCTCCAGTACTCCCCTACTAATGGCCACAATGTCATCTCACCTGGATGTGTCCTCCCAGGTACTCATATGGATAGCGACAATCAATGACATAAAACTTCTCAATCAGACCCTGGAACTTCCCCGACAGTAAGGCAGCCACCTGGACAGAAACAATGACTGAATATTCTGCTCACTACAACTCTGAGTGAGAGAAGGGTCAATGACACAGTTCCTTACAAGCATACTCCTGTTATGTCCACTGTATGTCCAGCCTCCAAAGTCATCCCATATTTGATATGTGGCAATGATTCAGCCCCACTCCACAAAAGAGAATGAAACAGGAAGTGGCCCTTTTAGAGAACCAAAATAGCTGGCATTGCCAAGATATCAAGGAAATCCATATTCAGGCTACCCGTCTGGGGACAGGCATGGCTGGAATCAGCCTCTCAGGAGACACCCAAGGACTTCTGCAGTGGCAGAGGCAGCAGCTAGAGATCTCGAAATTGCAGGAAGAAATGCAAAATGGTTCCCTACCCGCCATCAAAAAGGAAGAAAGTAAGCCTTTCAGGAAAGGATATGGAAGGGAAAGGTTGATACCTAGAGGAAGGAAGAAACTGAAGCTACTTGTAGGAGTGTAAATTGGTTCAGCCTTTCTGGAGGGAACTTTGTAAATACATATACAAACAAATGTAATTACACTTTGACTCAGCAATTTCTAATATCTTAAGTAAACAGGAAAAGTACACAAAGATGTAGGCACAATTATATTCATCTCAGCATTGTTTTATATTATCAAAATACTAGAAATAACTTCAATATTCAATAATAGGGGTTTGGTAAAATAAATTGTACATGTCAGTAGAATAGAGCAGCATTATATAGCCATTAAAATGATAATATAGATATCTTATTATTGATATAGAAAGATGTCTATAACATCTTACTAAGCAAAATGCAATACTATACGTTCATCATGATCCTTTTTTTTTTTTTTTGAGATGGAGTTTCGCTCTTGTTGCCCAGGCTGGAGTGCAATGGTGAGATTTCGGCTCACCACAACCTCTGCCTCCTGGGTTCAAGCAATTCTCCTGCCTCAGCCTCCCAAGTAGCTGGGATTATAGGCATGCACTACCACACCCAGCTAATTTTATATTTTTAGTAGAGACAGAGTTTCTCCATGTTGGTCAGCCTTGAACTCCCAACCTCAGGTGATTCACCTGCCTCGGCCTTCCAAAGTGCTGGGATTACAGGTGTGAGCCACTGTGCCCGGCCCATGATCCTATATCTATAAAACATATGCTAGAATAAAATCTGGGGCTGGGCACAGTTGCACACATCTGTGATCCCAGCACTTTGGGAGCCTGAGGAGAGTGGATCACCTGAGGACAGGAGTTTGAAATCAGCCTGACCAACATAGAAAAAACCCCCTGTCTCTACTAAAAATACAAAAATTAGTCAGGTGTGATGGCGGGCACCTGTAATCTCAGCTACTTGGGAGGCTGAGGCAGGAGAATCACCTCTGGGAGGCAGAGGTTACAGTAAGCTGAGATTGCGCCATTGCACTCCAGCCTGGGCAACAAGAGTGAAACCCCATGTCAAAATAAAATAAAATAAAATCTGGAAGGCCATAGGAAAATATTACTAGTGGTTGTCTCTGGTGATGAGATTGTGGGTATGGTGACCAAATAATTTTTGTACAAACTGGGAGACTTTTGAGAATGAAAGCAAACACTATTAATAATTACCCTCACTAACAGATGTAAATGGGATTGCAAAATGTAAACGAGGGTGCATGGTCACCCTAATTGAGACCATTTTTTGTGTGTGATTTTGTATTTTCCTTTCTTTTTTTTTTTTTTTTTTTTTGAGATGGAGTCTCACTCTGTCGCCCAGGCTGGAGCGCAATAGCGTGATCTCAGCTCACCGCAAGCTCTGCCTCCCAGGTTCACGCCATTCTCCTGCCTCAGCCTCCTGAGTAGCTGGGACTACAGGTGCCCACCACCATGCCCAGCTAATTTTGTGTGTTTTTAGTAGAGACGGGATTTCACTGTGTTAGCCAGGATGGTCTCGATCTCCTGACCTCGTGATACGACTGCCTCAGCCTCCAAAGTGCTGGGATTACAGGCGTGATCCACCTCACCCAGCCCTTTGTATTTTCCTTTCTTTCTCCCTTTTTTCTTAAATAATAATTATTTTTTGAGACAGAGTCTCACTGTGTCGCCCAGGCTGGAGTACAGTGGCATGATCTCTGCTCACTGTAACCTCCCCAAGCGGGGTTCAAGCAATACTTGTGCCTCAGCCTCCCAAGTAGCTGGGATTACAGGCACACACTACGACGCCTGGCTAATTTTTTTGTATTTGTATTAAAGATGGGGTTTCGCCATGTTGGCCAGGGTGGTCTCCAACTCCCAGCCTCAAGTGTCTGAGATCTGCCTGCCTCAGCCTCCCAAAATGCTAGGATTACAGGTGTGAGCCACCATGCCTGACCCCTCCCTTTTTCCTTTTTACAACAACTATGTATCATTTGTTTAAACTAAAAAGGAAGGAGAGAGAAGAATGGGGAAAAAGGAGTCCTTTAATATAGCTTTAGTTGAATAAGGAGCCTATGTGAGTGAACACAGTGAAAGAAACACAAATGGAAATGGGGATTTTAGGGACAGAACAGACCAGATGGTAACTTATGTAACCAGTTACCATCTCCAGAAATCTGCTTACCGTTTCTGGGTTGACATACTTCAGATCTTGGTGTTTCCCTGACACGGTTGGCAGTGCACATACCTAGAAATACACAAGAGCTGAAATAAAAGCGAGTATTCCACACCCGAGTTTGAGATCAAAGACCCTTATTTTGTCCTTCTTTCCAAGTGACCCTTAAAACCCCAGAGGCCTTCAAAAAAATCAGTGTCTCTATAAAGTGCAAATACATCAAGTCCATTTCTAAGAACTGATCCTAAAGAACAAATCAAGGATGTGTACGAAGTTTTGGATTTCTCTACAAATACATTCATCTTGGTATCATTCATAAGAAAAAATTGTAAAACTAAATATCTTACAAGAAGGGATTTATGAAGAAATTATGAGCAGCCAAAACAAAAATGAAATAATATGGAGCTATTAAAATGAAATGGGCTGGGCATGGTGGCTCATGCCTGTAACCTCAGTGCTTTGGGAAGCCAAGGAAAGAGGGAATTTCTTGAGGCCAGGAGCTCGAGGCTGAAGTGAGCTATGATCATGCCAATGTACTCCAGCCTGGGTAACAGAGCGAGACCTTGAATCTTAAAAGAAAGAAAGAATGAAGCATAACTGCTTAGTAATAGGAAAAAAGGTGCTCTTGATATAATTATTAAATGAGAGGAAAAACTCAACAGATAACAAAACAATATAAACTATTTTTGTAGAAAAGCAAAAACTGTATTTGTAAATGTGTTTGTGAAAACACAGAAAAAAATCTGTAAGAATATATATGTTCTGCAATTACACAGAGAGTAGTGGGGAAAAAAGAATATATACTAAGCAATATTACCCTGGTTAATAAAGTTTGGGATAAATTTCTTCATTTTCTACTTTTTCTGTAATAACCCAGTATTATTTACATAATTTTAAAATATGTTTTTAAACAGAAAAAAGGTAAAAAGTCTCATACTTTCCCCTGTGTTCTGGATCTTCCCAGAAGAATAATAAATATTTTCTTTCTGGAAAGGCTTAGGGCCTGGATCTACCACTAGAGTACTGTCAGGTTATCAAATAGTATTTGGTGAGGATGCATATTTACACCAGGCATTCTCTGCAAACAGAGAAGATTCAGATCCAAATGACTCACTGAAATACAGGATGGGTGTAGCCAAACTCACCTTGGAAAAATCACCAATCAGGTGCCCCTGGTTAGAATCTTCCTCCAGCATCTGAGTGATATTAATGTCACATAGAGAGACTGTCTTCTTTAAATGTAAGCCCTGAAGATGACAAGATTCCCACCCCACACCCAATCCTCATGTTAAAGGTTTAAAAACCAGTGGATGGAGTGGGTCATGGTGGTGCACATTTGTAATCCTAGCTACTTGGGAGGCTGAGGTAGGAGGATTGCTTGAGCCCAAGAGGCGAAGGCTGTAGTGAGCTACGATCACACCACTGCACTCTAGCCTGGGAGACAGAGTGAGACCCCATTTATTTAATTATGATTTTTAATAATAAATAAATATTGAGTTTGCAGTGAGTCGAGATCATGCCACTGCACTCCAGCCTGGGTGACAGAGTGAGACTCCATCTCAGGGGAAAATAAATAAATAAATAAGTTGATTTTATAAAATATCCAAATATATTTAGAATTTTAATTTGTTCTTTTATTATTATTTTTTATTACAGATGGGGTCATGCTATGTTGACCAGGCTGGTCTTGAACTTCTGGCCTTAAGTGATACTCCCATCTATTTAGAATTTTTAAAAGTTGGGGAGGGTAAAGGACAGAGGCTAAGTTTTTCAGAAGTTGCTTTCCACAAAAGCAATCTGCTATATGATGTTGTTTCTGTCAGACCGCATGTAAAACGGCAGTGAAATATCCATACCAAAGTTCCCTTGTATTCATTCAGATCTTAAGAAAAAGGTTTGGGAAGGCAGTATGAAGACAACATTTCTTTTTTTTTTTTTTTTGAGACGGAGTCTTGCTCTGTCGCCCAGGTTGGAGTGCAGTGGCGCAATCTTGGATCACTACAACCTCCGCCTCCCGGGTTCAAGCGATTCTTCTGCCTCAGCCTCCCTAGTAGCCAGGACTACAGGCACATGCTGCCACGCCCAGCTGAGTTTTTGTATTTTAGTAGAGACGGGGTTTCACCGTGTTACCCAGTCTGGTCTTAAACTCCTGAGCTCAGGCAATCCGCCCGCCTTGGCCTCCCAAAGTGCTAGGATTATAGGCGTGAGCCACTGTGCCTGGCTGATGACAACATTTCTAAAAGTACAATATAGATATACTTTATATATCTATGTTACATAAATATTTTATATACATATATTTCACATGTGGATACAGATGTAGAAAAGACAGAAAGATGGAAAGAACAAAGAGGAAAAAGTAAAAGTAAAGAGGAAGAAGACAAAAAAGGCATAATAAAACAATCCTCATACCAGAAAAGCAAAGACATGAGAGAGAAGATGAGTAAGATTTCCATCTTAAAATGTTCTTACCTTCCTGAGTTTTCCTTGGCCAGAAAAATACTTTTTTTTAACTTTGTCTGGTATCGTGTTGTCCTTGAATTTTTCCACCTGCTTCAGTCTTGGCCTATTCAAGTTCTCTGGCATCGAGGGGGAGCGATATAGGCAGCTTCTGTTCACTGATGCCTGTTTGGGAATATTAAACCCCTTAGTTCTTATGCCTCCAAGTGTATCTGCAGACCTGCAGCATCAATATCTCCTGGGAGCTTCTTTGAAATGCAGATTTCCAGATGTGAGGCCACACCCCAAACCTACTGAATTAAAATCTGCATTTTAACAAGATGTCCAGGTGATTTCTCAAGTTTGAGAAGCCCTGGGTAGGCAACCTGTCTTCACAGGCCCATTAACATCTTTCTACCTGGACTGCATGATATTCCATCTCCATGGACGTCTTAACTAGCCAAACCAAATTCTGCCGCTGACTGTCTTAGATGCACTAGTTCTTCTAACAGAAAGCAAACATAAGTTCAGTCCCTCCAGTTATGTGACAAAATAATAATAATAATAATAATAATAATAATAATAATAATAAGTCCATTTTGTCTCTGGGATCCTAGGACATTGACAATCAGGATTTAAGGACCTCAACAAACCTAAAGATGAAAAGCCAAGAAGAAAAATAGCAAAAGAAGCATCATGCAAGAAAAAAGGACACACTAAAATCAAATAGCATGATGACCATTATAGGATGGATACTATGAAACCCATCAGGGAAAAAAAATGGCTCAATGTCATGAAGAACTAGCCTTGAGAATTGCTTACACAGGAACAGACTAAAGTATAAGAAGATGGACTCTTGTTTTATTTGAAAGGCATGGTTTGGGTGCTATATTCAGAGTCAAGAGGGTCTTATCAAATGGCCTCTGATAACACCTTCCAACTAATCCACAATTCTATCCTGTTGCCACATACTTTGAGATCTCTACCTCTCACCTAGAGAATAGGCAAAAGCTCCTTCTCTAAACACTTATGGACTGATTTAGGATGGGCGGCTATACAATAAGAGAGCCATAACTGGAGGGCAGCTTGATGATCAATGGTTTCTGGAAGAAGAAAATAAGAATAACAACATTTTGCTTTATGATAACTATGGATATTATGATTTTATCACACACATGGTCCTATCTCTTGCTCATGGTACCAGCTGATGGTACAGTCCACATTATACGTACCAACATTCTATACCTTTCCCCTTAGACTCCTTCCAAACATTGCCCTATGTCCCCATCCACCCTACCCCCCAGCCACTGATGACTGGACCATATTGCTGGTTGAACACATCTATTTAGTGGTCTAGAATAAGGAAAAATAATCTAGGTCAATCAGGTTCCCTCTCTTGGTAGCCTAACTTGGAAGATGGAAAAATAGTTAGGCAGTAGCAGAAGCCAAAGCCCAAGAGGAAGAAGCCAAGAGATACAGTCAAAGTCACGAAGCCAGTGATGCATGAATGGATCAACCAAAGGTAGGGTAGGAAAGGAGATTTGGTGAGGCACTGAGGAGTTGGGTGCCTGGTCTCCATGACAGACAGGACTTCATATAACTTCAACTTTCCCCTGAGAAGGCAGGGGAAAGCTAGATGAGGTTTTCAGAAGGGGCTTCTCTAGAACACACCATAATAATTATGCTAAGAGCCATATTATTAAGAGTTTGGAATTAATTAGCTAATTGAAACTTATCTTTTTTGTTGTTGTTGTTGAGGTAGGGTCTCACTCTGTCACCCTGGTTGGAGTACAGTGGCACAATCTTAGCTCACTGCAACCTCTGCCTCTCAGGCTGAAGCGATCCTCCCAACTCAGCCTCCTGAGTAACTGGGACTACAGGTGTGCATCACCATCCCCAGCCAATTTCTGTACTTTTTGTAGAGACAGGGTTTTACCATGTTGCCCAGGCTGGTCTCAAACTCCTGGGCTTAAGTGATCCATCTGCCTCAGCCTCCCAAAGTGTTGGGTTTACAGGCATGAGCCACCACGCCTGGTCTGTATCCATTTTTAAGCATTGTATCTAACAAATTTTTGCCCAACCCAAGGTCACAAAAATTGTCCTCCGTTTTCTTTGGAATTTTTTGTTTGTTTGTTTGTTTGTTTGTTTTGAGACAGAGTCTTACTCTGTCACCCAGGCTGGGGTGCAGTGGCATGATCTCAGTTCACTGCAACCTCCGCCTCCCAGGTTCAAGTGATTCTCCTTGCCTCAGCCTCCTGACTAGTTGGCATTACAGGTGCCGGCCACCATGCTTGGCTAATTTTTTTTTTTTTTTTTTTGGTGAGATGGAGTCTACCTCTGTCGCCCAGGCTGGAGTGCAGTGGCACGATCTTGGCTCACTGCAACCTTCACCTCCCAGGTTTCAGCGATTATCCTGCCTCAGCCTCCTGAGTAGCTGGGATCACAGGCACCCGCCACTGCACCCAGCTGATTTTTGTTCGTAGAGACGGGGTTTCACTGTGTTGGCCAGGCTGGTCTCGAACTCCTGACCTCGTGATCCACCCACCTTGCACTCCCAAAGTGCTGGGATTACAAGTGTGAGCCACCATGCCCAACCACTCAGCTAATTTTTTTTTTTTTTTTTTTTGAGACAGAGTCTTGCTGTCACTCAGGCTGGAGTGCAGTGGCACGATCTCGGCTCACTGCAAGCTCTGCCTCCTGGGTTCACGCCGTTCTCCTGCCTCAGCCTCCCAAATAGCTGGGACTACATGCGCCATGCCCAGCTAATTTTTTGTATTTTTAGTAGAGATGGGGTTTCACCATCTTAGCCACGATGGTCTCAATCTCCGGACCTCATGATCTGCCCGCCTCGGCCCTCCAAAGTGCTGGGATTACAGGCATGAGCCACCGCACCTGGCTCCACTCAGCTAATTTTCATATATTTAGTAGAGATGGGGTTTCACCATGTTGGTCAGGCTGGTCTCGAACTCCTGACCTCAGGTGATCCACTGGCCTCGACCTCCCAAAGTGCTGGGATTTACAAGCGTGAGCCACCGTGCCAGGCCTTTCTTCGGATGGTTTATGGTTTAAAGTTTTAGATTTGGAGCTACGATCCATTTTGTGTTAATTTTAATACATGATGTAGAGCATGGGTTAAAGAACTTTTATCTTTTAACACATGGATTTCCAATTGCTCCCGCACAATTTGTTAAAAAGACTATGCTTTCTCCATTTGATTATTTTTTATCTTGGCTGAATTACCAATTACATATATGCATATGTCTATTTCTCAAATCTCTATTCTCTTGTGCCAATGTTTTAGGTTTCTAGTAGCTATTATAGGGATAATTAAGGTGATTAACATCTTCATATAGTCTAAGGACAAGATGTCAAAAATAAATGACAGCAGAAAACTACTTTCACAAATAGAAACAGCTACTTCAGCGGCCAGGCTTGGTAGCTCACACCTGTAATCCCAGCACTTTGAGAGGCCAAGGTGATTCTGAATCGCTTGAGTCCAGTAGTTCAAAACCAGCTTTGGCAACATGGTGAAACCTTGTCTCTACAAAAAAAACAATTAGCCAGATGTGGTAGCGTGCGCCTGTAGTCCCAGCTACTTGGGAGGCTGAAGTGGAAGGATCAATCGAGCCCAGGAGGTCGAGGCTGCAGTGAGCTGTGATCGTGCCATTGCATTCCAGCCTCGGTGATAGTGTGAGACCCTGTCTTTTCTAAAAAAGAGCACGGTACTTCTTTCCTACACACTTATATGAAAATAAATGTCAACTGATTGCAAAGAATATAAGTGCTAGGTCATGGAGAGATGATGAAGATGGTACTTTAGTTCTGTCTAGCTAGTTAGAAGTTTCCCAGTTCCCAGAAGCTGGTGTGGGAAGATCCCAGGATCATCTGGCTTAGATAGCATTTAACATCTACTCATTTTCAATCTTTAAGGAATTACTAGAGCATTTCCAAATATGGGAGTTTTTAAACACTGAGAAAGCCAAAAAGAAGGGAGGGAAACTTACTAGATTCAACTTGTAGATTCTATTAAAAGACTTGATTGAATAATTATTATTTTATAAACTGAATTATTATTTTATAAACTGGCCTACACACTCTTGAGTACACATAAGCCAGTCCAGCTTCTGTCTGCACCACTCTTCTGCTCTTGTCAAAGCTATCAACAGCCTTCATGTTTCAGCATCTGACAGTCACTTCTCCAGCCACATTATCTTTCTGAACCTCACGTCGGCTTCCATTAAGTTGGCTACTCCATTTTTGTTGGCTTCAATGGCACCTCCTACTCTTTTAGTTATTTTTATTTATTTATTTATTTATTTTTGAGATGGAGTCTCCCTCTGGAACCCAGGATGGAGTGCAGTGGCACAATCTCAGCTCACTGCAACCTCCACCTCCTGAGTTCAAGCGATTCCCCTGCCTCAGCCTCTCAAGTAGTTGGGATTACAGGCGTGCACCACCACCCCTGGCTAATTTTTGTATTTTTATTTATTTTTTTGAGACAGAGTCTGGCTCTGCTGCCCAGTCTAGAGCTCTATGGTGCGATCTCAGCTCACTGCAACCTCCGCTTGCCTGGTTCAAGTGATTCTCCTGTCTCAGCCTCCTGAGTAGCTGAGATCACAAACATGCACCATCATGCCTGGTTAATTTTGTATTTTTATCTTATTATTATTATTGAGACAGTCTTGCTCTGTCGCCCAGGCTGGAGCGCAGTGGCACGATCTTGGCTCACTGCAACCTCTGCCTCCCGGGTTGAAGTGATTCTCCTGCCTCGGCCTCCAGAGTAGCTGGGACTACAGGCGCCCGACACCATGCCCGGCTAATTTTATTGTATTTTTAGTAGAGACGGTGTTTCACCGTGTTAGCCAGGATGGTCTTGATCTCCTGACTTCATGATCCACCCGCCTCGGCCTCCCAAAGTGCTGGGATTACAGGCATGAGCCACCGTGTCCGGCCATTATTATTTTTTAATTTTATATTTTTAATAGAGACAGGATTCACCGTGTTGACCAAGCTGGTCTCAAACTCCTGACCTCAAGTGATCCGCCCACCTCGGCCTCCCAAAGTGCTAGGATTACAGGCATGAGCCACTGCACCCGGCCTAGTTCTTTATTTCTAGTACAGGCAGCCCCTACACTAGAAGAACCATGATGCTTCTACCTCTGTGCCCTCTCCTCTGCTCCTTGTCA